TTAGTTGTTTACGGTATGCTTCTACCTTCTGCATTACTGCATCCCAGTCTAAACCTTCTGAGTTGCCCTTAATGATGTGAACAACAGATGGTTCTTGAAGATCTAATTCTATCTCGTTTTCTCCAATCTCTTCACAAGTCTCGGGAAGATCCATTTCATCATTAGTGGTTACACCCAGAGGGTCTATTTCGTGTTGTGAACTTTGCTGTTGATCAATGTGATTATTGCTTCCGGTCTCTTGAATCTGGATGGAGATTAGCGAGGATTCAATTGACATAATGTATTTTCAAGAATAAAATTGCACCTCCGTATAGCTATCCTCCTTCATATCGTTGTCAGTTGGAATGAACTGGGTAGACTGCCCAGAATTTAACTTTGTCTTTTTGCACTAAAACAATATAAGAAAAAACATTAATTAATTTTAATTTATGTTATATAAATTTGAAGCTTCAACGATAGATAATTAATAACATTTACTTTTTTGCGTCTTACTGAAATAACCTCTGATTCATCAGATTTATCGCTATCAATTTATACAAAAGAATTTAATGTCAAATTTGCAAATTAAAAGTAACGCATTGAGTAAACCTACGTTGGAATGTATTCGGACGAAGAATCTAACTGTATAGACTGTTCGTCTGATTGACTTGTAATTTCTTGTTCATCCGATTTTTGTAATTTTTTTAGTGAACCGACGGGTTGTCGTTGATTAGGATTCTGCCAGAATTTATTGATTTCGTCATCCAAATCCTACAGAAGCACAAGGTCAAATAATAATTATACCATAAGAGTAACATTAAATAACTCTACTCTCTCTCTGATTCTTGACTTCTGGATAAAAGAATACATATATGTACCTTCTGACTTCTTTTGGATGTAGATGGTCCAGAAATGAAAGTTCCACCTTTGTTCATATTTATAAATCCGGTAATATTCTCACCGGTAATTGTTGGTTGGTGGAGATATACCTCGCTGTTAGACCACTTCTCGCAATTTGACGATCAGGTCTTTGACCCTAGTATAAAGTAGTATAAAGGAACAATATTACTATATTATTATATTACTTCTATCTGCCAGCAAGGCTAGAAACCCTTAAACGCAGAACGGAACGACCTAGAAAGTCGCCCAACGACCTAGAAAGTCGCCTGCGCCCCAGCAGGACCAATGTTGGCAAGGCTAGAAACCCTTGAACGCAGAACAGAACGACCTAGAAAGTCGCCTGCGCCCCAACAAGGTCACCCGCGCATTATGTTTACATTTCTAATATAAAAGCTCCACTTGCCTTCTTATACCTATCGAATAACAGTTGCGCCTTTTCTTTTCTGTCGCCTTTCTTACGTTCAATAATTGCCTCAAGGCTTTTAGTATAACAATCAAGTTTATTTTCAAACGGTTCCACATCGCATTCTTTCATAAAATCTCGAATATTCCATTCTTCAGAAGCGCTATTGAAATATTTGTGCACGTTGGACATGATTGAAAAGTATGCGTTAAACTGTACTGTACGAAAAGATCTTAAATATACATTAAAATTGGGTATACAGATAAACTGTACGGTACGATACGCTATTTTGTACTGTACGAATAGTGACTTGTACGATTTATTTGTGGCTTGTACATATCAGGTACTTGATGTGTATATGATTTATCAATTTTTGATCAATATTTATGACAGATCTGATTTTACAACTTATAATTCTATGAAAATAATAATGTATTTGTCATCACTTTCTATATTAAAAAGTTATATAAACAAATATGAATAAAATTCAAAATGGTATGATAAAATTGCATCACAATTATTATTTAATTTGTTAATAAATAATATTTGGAAATATAGAAGAATAGGATTTTTCTCACATAATTTTTTTAAGATTCAAAAAGGTAAAAAAAAATTTATATTTATTTTTCAATTTTATATTTTTTAATTTATTTATTTTCTAATTTGATTATTTTTTAATTTTATTTATTTTATAATAACATTTTATTTTTTAATTTATAAAGGATTGTTATAAAATCAATATAAAAATTGTTATATTAATTATTTATATTTTAGAAATAAGATAGACAAATATTAAGAATTTGTATTGCAATATAAACATGAAATAGAGTTAATAACAATAGAAAATAATTTCAAACCTGATTGCATATTATCTAATAGACAAAAATACAACCTTGTAATACTAGTGTATCAATTTATTTGGCACTTAATAATATATAACTTTTCATTTTTTATATCTTATTATGGAATTAATAATATAACAGTGTTACAGAATAAAATTATCATAATAAAAAAAAATATAAGATGCAATACAAAAAAAAAATATACCTACAAATAATTAACAATAACTTTAGTGTTTAAAATTTAATTAATAAATATTAATTTAATTAACAAATAATAATAGTTTAATAATTTTTCAATTAAATATTTGTAATCAGTAACATATATTAATTAATCATGAAATAGTAGTACATGATCATGTGTTCATATAATATTTAGTTATATAAATATATTATTAATTTTAACATTAATTATTATCACATACTATCATTTAACAATAATTATTAACATCTATTATCAATTAGTATTAAATATATTTAGTAAATATTATAAAGAAATAGTAACTAATAGAAGTAGTATATAATAAGGTACAGTAATGGTACAGTAAGGTACAGTAGTAGTACAGTAATAAAAATCATTAGATTTAAGTATAAAAAGGAATTAAAATTACCTTGTCCTTTTTTAATTTTACAACTTTATAATTTTGAATTTTGATAATTTATAATTTATTTAAAATTAATAAATTTAATTTTATAATTTGTAACTTCAAGATAAACACTTGTAAAAATTACTTTCCAATTGGATTAATAAAATAATAAATATTGGAAATATAAATTATTAAATATAAAAATATAATAATTAATGAATAAATAATGGATATTATAAGATTAAATACTTAATTATATAATTGTATAATATTATTATTCTTGAGTTAATGAAATTAATTACAAACTGTTATTATAAACCCTAAACTTGAAATAATATTTAACCTAAATAAATAGAAGTAATACTTAATTATGATAATATTAATACTAAAAGTGATAATAAACTTAAAAAGATATTGAAATAAATTAGATAAAAGGTCTGATTCCTTTCTAAAATAACTGAATCAGTGATACCTTTTAAAACAACTGAACAACAGTTTTACCTTTGAAAAAGGATTATAAACTTTTTAAAAGAACTGTTAAGACACTTTACTAGTTTATTCTCAAAGAAACTAGGAACTATCGATGACAACAGTATATAATTTAAATACTTTAATTTTTGAACTAACAGCAAAATTAGGATATATAAGAATATATACATTGGATTTATTATGTGATGGAGCAGGAGAAAATAGATCTCATATAAAAAGTCTTGATTAATATATATCAAAATGGACTTTTGAAGATATTGTGGATGTTAATTTCAATAAAGACAAAATGTAGTAAAAATTTTAAGAAGCAATTTCGAGAAAACAAAATTTATTATAATTCCACTTGACAATAATAATAATTTTGAACTAATTACTTTGAAAGAATATTTATTTGTTCACCAATACCACCAAAATTAGAATGGAAGATTAATAACATATGTGAGTTTAAAAATTCAAATGATAATTTTTTTTTTTTTTTTTTTAATTCTAACGGAGTCATGTTTTATTAAACAATTTATTTTGCAGTTGATAAAAATTAAACAAATTTATAAGAACTACAAATACA